TTTGGGGGGGGTGGAAGACGAAGGAAAAAAAAAAAAAGTCATCTGCTTCTTATCTCTGCTTTCCATGACTTATGGTAAGAAGTTGCTTTAGGAGGCAAGAAAAATCAACAGCTTCTTTCCCATGCATTTATGCCACGGTGAATCAGGGGAATGGAAATGCGATATTCACTCCTGTGTACGCTATTGGTCTACAAGTCAAACTGCTTTTCTCAGTTTCTTCAGTATAAATGGAGACTCTTATACTTCTAATCCTTCCAAAGCACTTGGAAATGTATAAACCAAAAGCATTCCAGAAAGCTTGATGCTTCAATCTTAGCCATCCATTGTTTCTCCTCAGCTAAGTAGCTGGAGACTATACTCTTATGCAGTTCACTAATGCAATATTCAGAGAGTAGACAAACTACTTTTTGTTCCTTCTTGAAACTAAGCACCTAGCAATTCACAGTGCAGATGCAGTGCATCTTTAAGACATCCTCTAGTCTTTCTAAAACATTTAGATCACAGGGAAGCAAATCTGGAGCACAAATCTTTCCAAACATGTGGCAATAGAGGCTGATGCATTTAGTTCAGGCATACTCTTTTACAACAACAACGCTGACTAAAGCTTGAGAACAGATGCGAGAAGCTGAAAAAACCTGGAAGCATTATTCACCACCTCAGTAAAGCCCCAACCCCCAATATGACTTTCCTGACGGCCCCAAAAATACCAGGCAAGAGCATGCAGTGTGTTGTACCATGGAAAGAGACCGACACAATCTGGTTATGCACCTTCAGAAGTTTCTGGCAAGCATTCAATAATTGCTGAGGTTTTTTTTCATCAAACACAAAATTAAGCAGTACAGAATCATCAGCTCTTGGTCATTAAGTGCTCGGCAAAAATTCTGAACATAAACACACACGCAACATAGAACAATGTAGGGAGAGGTGGGTTGAGAACCCCCATTCGTTTAGTTTATTTCAAAAACCCAAAGGCTATGTAGTACTATGGCTTTGTTTGTCCTTGGGTGGAAGTACAATTAAATATACACAAACAACCCTGAAAGATCTTGCAGCCAGCAATGGACCCAGAAAATAACTGACTGACTGGGAATATAACCATGAGGTTCTCCCAGAAAAAAAGCATTGATGAAAAGGGTGTCTAGACACCAATGCACAGAGAAATTTTAGCTGAGCACCCACATTTTAAGATGAGTTTTCTTCTCCTATTGTTATGCTTATGTTCAGTATAAATTTATTATGCTAGAGAAAGACAGGAGCATACTGTCAAGTGTACTAGTTTCTAAGACTGCTTTTTCATGTTTTAATAAAAGCAGTCACAATGACCACTATTCTAAGCTGAAACTCCTTCCCCGAAGTTTCCTCTGAAAGTGTTTCTCTGAAGCTATTTATTGACTGGTCCTCCCACTCCAGAACACCTGCTTCGACTTTCTAGAGAGGAAAGGTACATAATCTGTTTTTGGCTGTTCAGTTGGAAATGCCAAAAATAAATATCTAAACGGAAAAATGCTGCCTTTAGGTAATATAACCATCATTTATCCTGCTGCACAGCTGTGGACATTTCTAACATCATTTACTCTGCACATTACCATATTGTAGTTCCACTCACAGGTATTCAGTGAACAGTCATACTGAACCAGTTCTCATACAATGGTATGCTTGCACTGTTATAACAAATCTAGTAACTCCTGTACACAAAGCAATATTCCAGCGAGTTGAACTATGTTAAACCATATTAAACTATGAACTGCCTTCTTCCAGGTAGAATTCAGATTGCTTTCTTAATAGATCAAAACAAAAATCTGATCTGTGCAGCAATGAAAAGGACTCTGATTTTAAGTACATATAAGAAACCACAACTTATTCAACTATCTAAAGTCACCCTAGACAAAGACTGAGAACTACCAGTTGTTCCAAGGTTCATACCGAGTCTTATCCAAAAGTTAAACAGAACTTACATGGTGAATGAATTAGCATAAAACATAAATCAACCTCCCTCAAAACCTAGTATATAATGGTAAAAACCAGTAACACTAAATTTCGTACCAGATCTGCCAATAATTTTGCTGCAAGCAATCACAGCCTCCAATTTGATAAAATATCCTATTTTCTGTACAAGTATCTATCAAATTTTTATATATCCTTGCTAGCTGCAATGCTTTAGAGAGACGACAGCTAAAACACAAGAAATTATAATTCCCAGTTTGTATAAAACAGGGTATTTCTGAATATAACCAATTCCTATAATCTAGCTAATTCCTGCCCTCTGGTAGTTTCCTTGCATGATGACTTACAAGTCTGGAGTCTGCTGTACCCTGCTAATTTTACTTTCAGTATTAAGGCAAATCAAAAGAATACGAGCAAGAAGGAAAACATGGACTAATATTACTCTGCTGGTTTCCGCTGGGACAGAGTTAATTTTCTTCACAGTATCTAGTATGGGGCTATACTTTGGATTTGTGCTGACAAGAGTGTTGATAACACAGGAATGTTTTAGTTAACGCTGATCAGCGCTTACACAGAGTCAAGGCCTTTTCTGCTCCTCACATCGTGCTGTCAGCTAGCAGGCTGGGGGTGCACAAGAAGCTGGGAGAGGACACAGCCGGGACAGCTGACCCCAACTGACCAAAGGGATATTCCATACCATGTGACATCATGCTCAGCATATAAAGCTGGGGGAAGAAGGAAGGCAGAGGACGTTGGGAGTAATGGCGTTTGTTCCCAAGCAACCATTACACATGATGGAGCCCTGCTTTCCTGGGGATGGCTGAACGTCTGCCTGCCCATGGGAAGCAGGGAATGAGTTCCTTGTTTTGCTTTGCTTGTGTGTGAGGCTTTTGCTGTACTCATTCAACTGCCTTTATCTCCACCCCCGAGTCTTTTCACTTTTACTCTTTCGATTCTCTCCCCTATCCTACCGGGGGAATGAGCGAGCGGCTGGGTGGTGTTTAGTTTCTGGCTGGGGTTAAACCATGACAGTTACATACTTAGTAGCTGAGAAAGGAACTTCTGCTGCAAATTGGTCTCCAATTTTAAATAATGTATAGATATTTCTAGCAACAACTTTCTTGAAGGACTGTAAAATACAGGTTTTAAAAAATCACCCTACTTCATTTAGTTTTAACGAAGGTAATGCTTTTCTTCATAACAGTAGACTCGCATTTCACCTCTATATATTTATGCCAACTAAGGTCATTCCTAAAACATTTAGTTCGGAAAAAAATAAAGTGAAAAGTCTAAAAATACCAATTATTGGAACAGTTTAAAATTTATGAGGAATTTCCAGTCTTAATTTTTCAATTTCAAAACTAAGAATGCCAATATTTTCAAGACAGGCACCATGCATTAACATAGGTTTACTCTTGCATATAAGACAACAGGGCCTCGATCCTCTTTCAGATCTTTGCACATTACTACTGAAACATTAACAAGAGTACTAATGCTGTCTTATTATGTCTTTTAACTAAAAGCATTGCCATCTAACAATTCCTCGAACAAATTCAAGAATTGTGAGTCTGGTGATAGTCATTGCTATGCACTATTTTGAGTGCTTGGAAATATATTAGCAAAATACCACTCTCACTATTATTTAATGGTAACCTAGGATATGCAAAAAAAACCCAACCAAACCAGATTCCAAGTGATACTGGAGATCAGATTCAATTCATTCAAGCCTACAGGAGAGCTGGGGAAGGACTTTTTACTAAGGCATGTAGTGACAGGACGAGGGGGAATGGCTTTAAACTGGAAGAGGGCAGGGTTAGATTAAACATTAGGAAGAAATTTTTCCACTATGAGTGTGGTGAGGCACCAGAACAGGTTACCCAGAGAGGCTGGTGAGGCCCCATCCCTGGAGGCGTTCAAGGCCAGGATGGGGCCTTGGGCAACCTGGTCTAGTGGGAGGTGTCCCTGCCCATGGCAGGGGGGGTGGAACTCGATGATCTTCAAGGTCTTTCCACCCTAAACCATTCTATGATTCTATAATCTGGTCTAAGCACTTTCTGTAGGAAAATCCCACTTTAGATGCCTATGTATAAAAAAAAATGTGCCTCTGAGTATCTGTTTTTTCAATGACATACCCCTTCAATTAAAAAAGAAAGTCAGATTTCTCCTATTCTTGGTTTATCTCATTCTTAATAAGTTAAAGTCTATTTTACAAGAAAATAACTTATCATTGAAAACAAACTGAACTAAACAAAGATATTTTCTATAGAAATGAGATACTGAATGCAGATTCACATTTTTTTCAGTCCTTGAATCCACTACCTTGGAATTCATATATTTATCAAATATCAAATATGAATATAAAAAAATAATCCAAAACAAACATCATGATGAGCATTTGAAGCCTAGCTTCTTAGCACCTTATTCTGAAATTTAGTGTTTGAGATAATTCTACTTAAACTCATCAGAAATTTTTCCTGTGACTTTCATAAGTGTTCAGTATTAGTCTAAAATCCCTTGTCACTTGTGCTTGGAGTTACATAGTAAAAATTCTGAAAATGATGATACTGCACATTTCGCCAAATATTAACTCTGCCTCTGCAGAACTGTTATTTCTAATGCTGACCCACAAGTCAGAAAGAATACAACTTGAACTTTAGAAACCAGGCAAGATCTGCATAACTAGTATCCTAACTATTAAAAAATTCTTTTTAAAGAACATAAAAAGAACTAATGGAATGTTTCTTGTCCTTCAAGTTTCAAGACTATAGTCAAGTGGGACCCTCACAATGCCAAGCATACCGACTATAATTATTAACACAATGGTATTGACATAATGATTAACATTCTATACTGCAAAATAGTTAGACTAGAAGCACAAAAAAATCCACAACTCATCCTGAGTGAAGAAAAACAATATGGAACTGGTACCTTAATAGAGAACATAAAACCAATTTTAATGTCAAAAAAAATATGCAGCAAGTTATTGCAGTCAAATGACTAGTTTTGCATTCTCATCCACTCTCAGCATTCTCTCTCCGCCTCTTCATGATTCTCACCTCTTCCTAATTTCTGAATCCACAAGGAGTTGCCTCTTTTTGTGGGGTGGTGGTGGTGGGAGTTCCTCTTTAGCATGCTTAACCAGGATTTGTTCTCTTGTGGTCACCATAGTTACAGTTTCCATTACAGTTGTCTGCGTTAGGGATGTCTGAGTGGTAGTGACAGCCTGCGAAATCTGTCAGAAGTATTAAAACAGAGGTCACACACTGTTCGAAAGACTTCAGTAAAGACTGTTTGGAGTAGCAATAGAAAATAATGAGAAACTGCTCCCATCTGATCATAGGCTGACCTTCAGAAAAAAAAAATATAACACTATATGCAAGTCAAACCAAATTGTTTTATCTGACTCATGCTGTGTGAATAAGATATCTGCAGAAGTCAATATCAAGATCAGAAAAGATCCTAAATAGAATGAACTTATGGCTCCCTCTAAATCATGCTGAATGAAGAAAATAAATGAATGGTCAATTTTATGGGGGAATTGAATGATAGCAAATGTATAAAATACTACTATTGCTGTATGTTACTCTGCCTCCATTCTGAAGATTTATACCTTAAGAAGTGATAAAGGCATGGTAACGGCACTAAATTACCAATTTTTTATTTTTACCATTTATAAGAATTTTCAAACTAGAATGTAATTCATCACAGCCTCCTTGCAGAAAAGGGCAGTTAGCTTTCTGTCAGGAAATCTTAAATTAGAAAACACGCATTAGAAGGCAAATTAATTTGCATCAGTTTTATTCCATAATTAAAAACTAATGTTAAGGGGTCATAAAAGATACTAATACACATAATATGTAACACTGTAAATGCTACCAGTGTAATGCATTTAACTTTGCCCAGTAATATGAAAAAGCAGCCTTCATATAGTTCAGCTGCATTAAAAGAAAAAAAAAAGGAATAAGAAATATTTTCTGCTCATATTTGTTTGGAAGATACTGTTTGTATATATACTTCCCATTTATATTTATTTCCATATAACAACAAAATACAAACTTCCCACTTAAACACGTGCAACTGTTCTTAAGACCCTTAACTCTTGAGAAATGGGTCACTTTTTTTTTTTTTTTCATTCTGTCAGATGATGGGTCATTGTCAAAATTCTCTAGTTACAGCTCCAATGATCACCTCACAGTTTAGGGGCAGTGAAATGGAAAACAAAAGGAAGAAGTTATACCAGGAGCAAGAAAAGCTGTGCACCAGAAGAGCCCTGCTTCTTTGCTTATTGCCAACATGCAAGAAATAGAAAGGCCTTCCAATACAGCGACAAATTCCATGAAACTATACATGGAATACATAACAGTAACATACATAATGATATACAATACAATAACATACAGAAATAATCTATTAGTTCTTGCATCAGCAACTCAGTAAGAGTATTGAGTTACCTTAGTTATTGAGACATTGGTGTTTCTATAAACAACAGAGAAGAGGCATACCAGCTAATTAACTATAACTCCTTTCCCACAACACTTTCTTACATAGAAAAAAATCGAGTGTCAAGGAAAGGTGGATATGGTTAGCAACCTGCCTCTTCTCAGCAGGCAACACCAGTAAAGCTACAAAAAGCCTTGGAAAAACCCAAGTTCCTCCCAGCGCTGCCGAATCTTTCACGTGGTCTTCAAAAACAAAAAGTCTTCTTGTTCTTTATCCAGTCTGCTGGTAGAAGTGATGAGTAAGGAAGTCCATTACCACTGCAATTTTGGCAATCTTTCTTAATACCGTCAGCTCAACGCTACTCTTCTCCCTCTAGAAATGACCAGCTGTCTAAGCTTTAGAGCAGAATCTGGACTACTCAGAAGACTACAAAATTAATGTTCAAAGTAGAATTTTTTTTTAAATCTCCAGATTAATTATATCAATTGGAGTAAATGCTTGCGAACTGTAGGGACTTAGCTAATGTATGAACTACATAAATTTTTGGAAGAGAAAAACACCCAGTTGACTTTTTAATCCATAAAATAATATGTATTAACACTCTTTTTTTAGTTCTCTCAACAAGACGTATTGACTTTGATATTTTCAGTTACAGAAATTATGACAATAAATAAAGAAATGTTTCCATATAGTTTTATTAAAACTTTATACAGCATTCTTTTCAAATTTATTTTTAATTAATTTTCTTTTGGGGCAGAAAGGAAAAGCAAATTAAAGCTTCTGAGGTTTAAGGCTCTATGAAATTTGAGGATAATACCCAACGTCATCTTTCCCTGCATTGACTCTGTAGCTAAGAACACTCCAAATTTCCTTGCTCCTTATATGCAGTTTTGGGGACAGTCTCTCTTTCCACTTCTCACAAATTCTTATCACACTCAGTTTTATCCACAGATCAATGATAGGACAATGTTTCTGACACCCGAGGTCATATCCTGTCATGTTTCCATTTGCCAGTCAATACCAGAGCACAGTTTACAGTGAAGAAGGTGTAAACCAGAATAAACCACAGCTAGGGTGCTGTAGGAATCACCTGCAGCATACCACACAGAAGTAAGAATTTCAACTGGTGATTGGCAACTGAGCTTCAAAACCAGGCAATGCAATTACCATATGCACAGGGCAGTCAAGTCACAATGCTGTGGGGTGTAATGATTTACGTGTCAAAACAGTAAAGTATTATTTTTCAAGCTTAATCAATAGGAGTAGAGGTTAAATACTATGTAATTCAATGGAGAATGGAGATGTGAATTTGAAGTTCACAATCATTCTAATTAGAGACTGGGTAAGACTAAAAGATACTGAAGATTATACCGCAATGTAACTCTGCAAGATGAAGTTGGTTCACATTTAAAGAGTGCACACACTGCAGTGGGTAAAGGAAAATCCTTAAAAATATAAGGATGTACAGAAAAGGAAGTAGCTTTTCTTCACTTCTCTCGAAAAAATACCAAACAAAACAAACAACACCCCACCTTCTAAATGTAATGATTGAAGTAGTTTGTTTCATGTATTATTCAAAGATGGTCCAAATAACGACAGTATAGTTTCCTCATCCCCCTAAGTTCCTGAAAAACAAACAGGAATCCGAGAAGGGGCGATACAGACTGGGCCTTTAACGCACTAGAAAATTATATGAAAAGTGCTAAGGTGACTCACAAGGCTGCACATTAAAAGGCTTTCAAAATACAATGCTTGCCTGCAGTTTCACATCAGCAAGCTCATCTTAGAAACATGTTAAAACTCATCTCTTTTCAGAGTGGACAAATTCAAATCTTCCTTTTCATCCTCTACAGGCAAACGTATGTACAATGTGTGTATAGCACTTCAGCAGTTTTATGTCATTTTATTTCTCTTTTATATGGCAGCCTACCTTTAATGCCATCATTTATTACTGCCTTTGGAAGTGCCCTCCACCTGATAAACTCATAATTTTCCTTAACACTCACTTTTGGAGCTGTCATCTGTTCTTTGATGAAATGTATGTATGTGAGAGGGGAAGTTCAGATGAGGAATGGTGTTTTCTTTAGTTTGAGAAGGTTTTCAGTACAATTTGGTGAAGCATAACGAACTCACCAAAGGTGGGTACCGAGTTTCAAAAAGCTATGCATCTAGTCTAAGCAAGTCGTCCTTGTCCTTGCTTCCACTGTGTGGTCAATGAAGGAAAGTTGACATTTTCATGATGAGGACAAACTGCTTCTCAGAAATCTCTCTCTCTTTCTCACCCTTGCCATCCACTCATTGTAGCAAAACTTCAGCCATGAGTTCAGATTAGATACTTAAATTCAGCAGCAATGAATTCAGCTAAATGTGGGAGTACTCACATTCTACTTTCTGCACTTTTTCTTTGGGATGTACAACTGCTTCCTATGTCTAGTTGGAGAATCAGCTTTGAACCAAGGCTGAGGTTGTCTCTTTCATTTAATTTCTTATTTTTTTATCAACTGAAATGCACTGCTATGGTAAGACAGTTACACTGTTTTGGTAATCTAAAGCATCTCCCACCTGTGCTGCTCTACGATGTATGGATGTACAGCCTTAGGATTGCTCACTTAATGAAGAGGCTATCTTTTCTGTAACCTAAGTTCCATTTTTAAAACTAGTCTTTTAGGACCGGTGAACAATCTAAACTCTTGAGCACTTTGGAGTGACTTACTAACTTCTTCAAATCATGTGTCCCTAGCTATCCCAAATTAAAAACACGTCTGGATTTTCCTCTGCATTGAAAGAAGAGGTTTCCTACAGCAAATTTGCAAGAATTAAATCAAATTTTCAACTGTTACAAACGCTGTGCAGCACAAACTGGTTTTGCCTTCTGTTACTATGAGAAATTGTATCCTTTCCCTATTTTCTTCTCTTCTTTTCTCCCAAACTGATTTTTCCAACTTCAGCTACACAAGAAACTGTATCACAGAGAAATTTAAGAGTAAGGTATGAGTTGCAAGCAAGGTTATTGAGAGATATTTAGATCACTGCAGAAGTATAGCAGCTTTCATTTAATTACCCAAACATAAGTTGGTAGAAGCATTAGTATAGAGCAACAAAAAAGTGCAGCATAGTCAAGGGACTTGAATCAAACTGACCAGAACTATGAGAGGCCCTCTGGGGATGGGACAGAGATCCATGCAGTAACGTTCTGCTCTGTGTTATCATTAAGTCTCAATGTCCATTTTCATTTCACCAGTCATACAACAATACCACAAAAATAACTCAAAATTAATGAGATAATGAAATGGAGAAAAAAAATTAGCTGATTTGGGTTTAAATCCAACAAGAAAGAAAAGCTGACAGATGGCTAGGAAAAATAAAATTATATGTTTTCGGTACTGCAGCAGAGCACTGATTTTTGTTACTTTGTTTAAAAAAAAAAGTGAAACTTTAAAACCTCAATTTTTTTTAATATATTGCAGTTAACATAAAGGACCTGGGCAAAATAATAGTGGATTATATTCTTTGTCCATTGACATTTTGGTTACGTGTATGGATTGATTTCTTTATTTTTTCCAATAAACTTCTCTTCTTATGGCCTCTCTTTTTAATCTGTTAATCAGCATAACATAAGCAGAAGTAAACCAGTAATCTACTATAAAATTTCACTGTTGAAAAGAAATAAAAATAGTTTAACTAGCAAGCAGTTCCTACACTAATTTCAGACTAAGTGCTATTCCACAGAGACAGCCATAACAAAGAGTGCATTTGAAGTGACCAACTATTATAGGTTAAAAATAAATTAACTGGAAAGAGTATTTTCATTATGGATTGTATCATCCCTGAAAATATAGTTAACAACCCAAGAAAGTAATCAACAATATAAAGAGAGAACAAAAACTAAAGAGATTAATAAAATTCTGGAAAGTTATATTACAATTGTATTATGCTGTCCTAAAAATAAAATATGTCTTAAGCAATCATGCTGGGGAAAAATTTAAAACAATGACAAACAGCACCAAAACTACTTCAAGCATTTGACTGGCAAAGAGTTTCACTGTCACCAACTGACAAAATGATGGTTTTAACAAACCTGTTTAGAATTACTCTCCACCTTCTGCACAAGGCTTTCCCAGCGCTGAGCAAAAGTTTCAAGACGACTTTCCAGCTTTTGAGCCACCGCTTTATTTTTCACAGCTACAAGGAGATCTTGGCTGAGCGACTTCAGTTTACCCATCATTTGTCTTTTCATTTCTAGATCTCCTTTTAGGATCTGTTAAGCAAAGTAACAGCAAGAACAGTACTTCATATAGGGGGAAAAAACCAACAACCAAACCCAACAAACTTAGAGGAGAAATCCTACAGAGAGAATCATCAGGAACCGAAAATGGGTAAGGGTGTTTCATACAAACTCCTATCCTTCCATGCTGCTGTTACTGTAAAAACTGCTGGAGACCTGACATAGCGGAATGGATACATTGCACTTCACAAAGCAATATAACATGACAGGTGGAGCAACTCCAGATATCACAGCATGCCTCAGGTGGTGACATAAATCAAAAAGCTAACAGCTGTGTGACATTCATAACCTTAAAACTGCACTAATGTTAACAGCTATATCAACATTTCAAACAATGTTTCTTTAAAGTTTTGTTGTACGTTGTCATATATTGCATATTAAAACTCGCTGGGAAAAAAAATGTTTTCTAGAAAAATAACATTTGACCCCAAACCAGGATGAAAAAAAAAGTAAAACTCAAAGAAAATAACTTTTGTTTTGGCAGCATTGAAGAAACATGTATTTCTCATCTTCCTCAGATCTTGGCAGGCTCTGGTTACATGGCAGTAGCCTCCCAGGGAATGGGGAAGCCTTGGGAACCCCAGGAGCAATGCTGAGTGTGCCTCAAGGAAATGGTCCTGCAGCTGGGAGCCTGGAAACTCCTGTGTACATCCACTGTGCTCTGCAAGACGCCGTACAGCTCAAACCCATGGATGCTAATGGAAAAGGAGAAACCATCAGTCTTCACATGTTTACTGCAGTAAACTGCCAAGGGATCTTGAAACTCGAGATCTACACATGCAAACCTCTCTATGAAGTAGGTTCTTCACAGATCCAAGAGTCATCCATAGCTCCAGTTCTCACCTGGGTTTATTTTTTTAATGCCTCTACTGGTTTACTCCATTGATTTTCATACCTTAAGCATTCATTCTCTACACCCTAGTCTGTGCTAACCACGGCCGCATTTTGAACTCTCTATGCAGCCGAGGATTGCAATCTAACCCCAAGATATGAAAGGGATAATTAAAAAAATATTTAGACAACAGAATTTAGTCTACATATACTTTCCTGTAGCCATATTATCCAAAATTGTAATCTAAAATACAGCTCAGGAAACAAAAGAGTCACAGTCTTTGTAATCAGTACTTTTTCCATTTAGATGTGGTTTGAAACATGTTAATTACTAATTTTAGATAGAGTTAATATCAAAAATTAAATTCACATGTCCCTAAGAAACAGCAGCTAACACACTTTATATTGAAGAACCTATGCATAGTGGCAGATCTAATGCAGGGAACAGACTAGATGTAAAACTACCCTCTTAAAATTTAAAAGGTTGCTATATTTGACTTTTTTTTTTTCTTACAGTGTCAGAAAAAACTCATGTGAAAGCCACCACATACTTGGACTAAAATAATCAAAAGTGGTACCCTGTGAAACATGACTACTGAATTCTGAACAGCAGCTTTTCATTTCCAACCTCCACAGCTGACAATAGTTGTATAATACACAAATAAGTTCAGCATCAATCCCAGCTACATGGAGAACAATGAGTAAGTGAAACACTAGAAAGAGAAGGATGCCAAAACTTTCTATGTCAAAGGTACTGCTCACTACTACCTAAATATGCTTTTGCGACAGCTACAGTTAACATGTAAAAATATACTGGGGGATTCTGTTTTCACATTTCCTTACTGAAAACATGTTAATGTGCTACAGTAACCAATAATATGCTCTAGTTTTGTTGTGTTTTGTTTTTTTTTCCCCTCTGGTACAAGAATAGACCTAAAATACTAATGAGATAGCAACAGAATATATAATTTACCAATCTGCAAGATAATAAATGGTACTGTTTGCTTCATGAAATTAATTATCAAATAACTCAGTCATAAGTTCTGTCAAGTGCATGCTGTAAACTCCAATATATGAACATTATAATGTAGTTTCCTTATTTGTTGGTAATTTGCTTCTACTAGTTGTTTTTTGCTTTCAAGTTTTTAATTATTGATGTTTTTCTTTTCTTTAAATATCACCAAAAACTTTCTTTGCTCATTGTAATATTCTAATCACCAACATCTGCTGTAAAGTAATTGTTCGGTAGCTAAGAGATTTATACCAGTAAAAATGCTGTAATTATCTAATTTATCTCTTCTAATAAGTAAATAAATTTGCATAAAGTAAGGCAAGAGAAGATTTAACTCTATATTAATGAATATTTACTGTAAATATATAGACCTAGATCTTGCATATCTTCGCAGTAGATCCCAACATGTTTTACAAAAAAGAGGAACACCATCACCTTCATTTTACAGGCTGCAAAACTTAGGCACAGGTCATGAAAACAACCTGTCAAGCCTATGCCATAAATGACAGTGAAATTTCACCTCAGTCTTTCCACTTACATTCTACATTCTGAGTGCATCACATCCTCCGGCTTAGTCCATGCTCTATGTCAAAATTCACCTCGTGTAAGAATTCAGGGACAATTATAGTGACAGTGAATTATAGTAGGTGGAAAATTAAAAAAAAAACCCAAAACTCTAACAGTTGTTTTAAGGAAATATTTTTAGAACTAGAGCAACTAATGATCAACATCAGAAAAAAAAAAAGAAGAAATGTCAGTATTAATACATGCACAAAGTAGTAAAGCCTAAACAGTTTTTCTGACCTTTAGACTAAGCAGATCCCAGAAGAGAGTTAATGACAAAGGACATAAATTTTCACACACAAATACTGAATGAATCCTCTGAAACAAACCATTTGAGATTATTAAACCACAAAAATTTCTTGCAAAAAAACATTTTTATCTGAAAAAAGATCTTACGAATATATATTATGGGTATAGATTAAGAAGAAATCTAACTGACTTGATATGAGTTTTAACACAACGTTAGAACTGGGTGAATTGCTACACTGGCCAAAAATATATTTTACCAATTCATTTCAATAACAATGAAAATGTGACTGCTAAAGCTGAGGGAAAAAGAGGGACAGCATCTGTACTAGGTTTACATTGCAAGATTTTGGCAGTGGGGGCGCTGCAAGAGTGGTTTCTGTGGGAAGACATTAGGGGCTGCCCCCATGTCATATAGAACCAATTCCAGTTGGCTCCAAAATAGACCCACCACTACCCAAAGCTGAGCCCATGACTGACTCCAGTGGTGCTTCTGTGAAAATCTCTCTTCTGTTAGACAGATTTCAAAACATTTTGTCTTCCACCGCCCAGAGTGTATCCCAACCTACATATATTAGAGTATTCTGACACCAAATTGAATATAAAAGTTTAGTTTACGTAGTTTTATTTAAAATGTTTTAACTTGCCTCCTCCTCCCAGTTTGGAGAATCACATCTGAGAAAGAATCTACAGAGAACTAATATTTGTTAAATAACGGTAAGCATGCACTCAAATCACTAGAATAGATCAAATTTTGGGGAAACACATGCTTGTTTATACAAATAATCAGAATTTGGGCAGCAAAAATCTTCCAGCAATCCTAAAACAGGAATTCATGTATGGAGCTTTTGGTTCAGGAACAATCTCAATTTTTCTGTTTACTCAAAATCTTTATTATTCTCTGAAAATATATGCATACTGACTACTATTTTAACTGTCAGAAATCCTGTCTTAAAATTAACAGTGTATTTCCTCCCACTTGAGAAACATGAGATAAAATTACTGTAGAGAAGACGCTGATGTATTTCTGCATCAGCAAGCAGTAGTTAAGTCCCAATTGCTTCAGAAGTATCCTGAAATGCAAATATGCGTGAAAACTACCAGCTGCTCTTTCTTATTTTACCTTCTGTTTGTTACTATATGATGTAATGATTAATGTGATGTAAGAGTCAACATTTTTTTTCATACTGTGAACAGCATCTCAACAGACCTATTTTACCTTCAGGCACTTTAGAAGGCTAAGGACCTTGCAGGAGGGTTGTAGAATTTCAAATGAACAGTCATAATGCTAAATGGTTTAATAAAATACCTTCAGAAATTTCCTTCAGGCTTAAGAGACTGAAATCTGGCTAAAGAACATGACCTTAATCTTGCCAAGTTGTGCATATAAGAAAGACAGGAAAAACAGGCTGGAACCTCTTACGCTGTATCATGATATCAAACCTAAAATTCTTAAGATCTATGTCCTATTAAGGACAAAATCTTACTGTAATTTCTGCTGGATATGATTAGACAACTGCAGGACTGGGCTACGATTTGTTAAGAATATAAAAATGTCTATATTAGTAAAAGAATGTACATTTATTACCTCACAGGCTCACCTTTACAAGTCTGAAACAAGTTGGCCTAATTATAAAGGCAATTTTTCATGACAAATTCTCCTTTTCTACATCCAAATACATCTCTATGGCCAAAATAACATATGCCACAAGACATGCATGATTTTCACATCAGGGTCAGGATACCATGATCCCATTTTTCCCCTATTTTGAAAAGCCAGTCCAGGAGTGGAAGAATATATTTCCTGACAAGAATTTTGATGTAGGTAATGCATTAATACAAATTCCCCTTGAAGACTTCCCAGAGAAAACTAAAATAGTAACTCTTCATCCACAAAACTCCTCACAATTTGACATTATGTGACGGTAAAAACACATACTCACTGGAATTTGGAGATGACTGCTACTAGTCTAAAACCCGACAGAGAAATTCCAAAAGAAGAAAATATTTTTCTGCTACAAATCAAAGAGACTAAAGAGGCAGTATTTCTCCAGCATACCATCCAGACTTAAATATCTAAATTATTTCATTGAGGACCAGCTGTTTCTAAAAACATCAGTGTTATTAATGTGCAAAAAAGATTAAGCTACTATTAATAAACCCTGCCTGTTCTGTCCAGGATGACATGATTCTTGTTGAGGCTCAGGGAGATGGAAGAATCACTTTATTCTGGTGTTCAAACATTCAGTTTCATGCAAGACAGCCAATGCTTTCCTGAGAGTAATGCTTAACAACTTAAGCTGGCAACATAATTAACTTC